TTGGATTAGTGGCATGAAAGAGAAGATCGTTTGCATACGCTGCCAGTTTATAGTGCCCCTGTCAGGATTGTGATGGACTGCATCTAGGAAGGGTTCGAGGCCAAGGACGAATGGGCAGTCGTGATGCATGCCATTATGAATCTGAAAGAGAGCGCTCAACACCACTTACATGCACACTCTAGCATTAGGTGCAGAGTACAGTCCTTTAACCCACTAAAGCAGGTGTGGACTGAAGCGTTTGATATATATTTTTTCATATGATATCATTTTTGATATTTTAATATTTGGGGGGAAAAAAACATTTTAAAAGTGTATCCAAAAATTTAAAAAGCTTTTCTAACAATATTAAATTAATACCTGTAAAGTACTTGATTATTTATAGAATGAAATGAAAAAAATAATGCAATGAAAATTTAGCCACTCAATGAATAAAGGATAGACCTTTTAAAAAACAGCAGTTAAAGGATTATTTAGGTGGAGAATTACAGATTTTTGGCTTAAAATATTTTGGACAACACAAAAACTATGTTGGAATCTTCAATAGATTTTGTTCGTTAAATCTTTTAAATAATTGCACTTCCTTTCTTTCTGAATGTCTGTGCAAATGTCCTACTGTGGAAGAAAGTGTGTGTGTTAAAATGCTGGTAGCTGTTCCCAGCTGTGCTCTGCCTTCCAGCAGAGAGATAAGCTGAGACAACCTAAAAAGAGAAACCTTTTGATGTCTCAGGTAACTTAAGTGCCCTTGAGATAAGTAAGAGAGATCAGGACAATCCTATCTAAACCTGTTTGGGGAAAAACATTGCAAAAACTCTCACAGGTGTTAACCCTCCAGATACCAGTAGAAAATGCCTCACAATACATTATTTATCCGCATGGCTTTAATGTCATCCAAACTGGTTTCTTATATAAAAAAACAGAAAGCAAATCTCATCTACTGAAGATATCCTTATTTACTTGTCTTTCTAATTGTAAGAAATCTACAGAAATGAAGGTCGCCTTAAAGGATCCCTCAACATTAGAATGTAGAATTAGATCTTCATGATGTGGTGCGAGGATGTCTGTCACTGTGTCCTGCACACAGTTCATTTTCACCTTAACTATTTCCAAAGTTATAATAATTTCAATATATGTTATGCTCCTCATTTGTATTTGTCTGGCACCTTTTGTTATGTAAAATATGTCTGCTGTTTATATCTGCTATATGCTGTTTATATATGTCAGCTTGATCTTATTTTATACAAATGTCATTGAGTTAGAATAGGCCTGGCTAAGAAATTTCAAGCTAGAATTTAAAGAATAGTAAGAATGGGATTATGGGGGGATGCATGGATGGATGGATGGATAGACGGACAGATGGCTATAGCTGGTTATCACATAGTTTAAGGAAGTTAGATTTTTGTGTATTAGCTGAATCATGAGATTGGTAGACACTCATGATGTTATTCTCTGCTGTATTAATATGATGTATGTTGGAAAGTTAATATCTTACTTGAGAACTGAAAAGTCAGCAGTAAAAAATTCCTTGAGTAGATTTACAATGTTGTCTTTTGTGGCAAATGCAGACATGTCCCCATTTGGAGGTACCATATAGGGATATGTTTTACAGTAAGGCCTCCATTTCGCCAATCTCGTCTGCAGAAGAGACATCCATGGTCTTAGTTGTTGGGAAAGAAGGATGCCAATATCAAAGCTTCTATCACTTACAGGTAGCCAAAATGTTTGAGAATGCCACCCCATCAAGCTCCCAGGCATTAGTATAGTAGCTTGTGAAATCCCGTTAGAATATCTAATTGTTTAGCATGTGTGAGCACAAAGCTATGAGCTCCACATCTGCTTAGATAGCTGGTAGCTCTGTTTCCCCTAAATATAACTTTTAATAAAGATAAAATAATGCAAAGCTGTTGGAATGGCATGTAACTAGGTATGTGTCTGTGTCTCCAATACACATTAATGAGTCACAGTGAAATCATTTAATAAAATCTTACCCTAAAGTCCTATTTGATGGGAGTGTCTTTACTTACAAAATATAAAAATATGACTTATAAACGTAATTACTTGTTATGTTCTAATAGTTTACATAACATTGTATGATTATTTTTAGTGAGTTTTTAATAAAACTAAACATGATAAGAGATTAATAAAGCAAAATGTTAAAGAGCTATTGAATAAATAGCAAGTAATGCATCTTTGTGTATATAAATACTTTAATGGCTGGCTTCCTAAAGCCTTCTTTGCTTTCCAAAATTCATTTTGTAATTCCATTTAAGTAATTTACAAATCTGTGTATATTCTTGTGTTTTATACAAAAGAGCATTGCAGATTCTTGGCCAAGGCAAAGAGAAGCGGTAAATGCAGGAGATGCTCCAAAAACTACGAACTGATGTCGTACTTCCATACTGCGCTGGTATTTTACAGGAATAAGGGGTCCAAGACTGTATTCAGTTCTAAGGACATATTAGGAACTTGATGCTCATTGTTATACTGTACATCATATGAGCCAAATGTTTCCCCTGAAGGGTTGTCTTGTTCTTATACTTTGTTTGACATCTGATAAATGAGAGATGCCCCAAGATAAACTCTGTCATTACCCTCTCCCCAATGAATTGTGCATTATGGATATAAATCATCACCATTCTGTCTATCTTTGTGATATTTGTTTGCCTGCACCTGAAAGGATGCCATGAGAGTATTACATCTCCTGCATCTTCTATACTGAAAATGTAGAGAGAGAGAGATAGATTGTGTGTGTGTCTGTGTTTTTGTAATATGTTGCTCATAGCATATGTATTTATTTGTACATATGCAACAACAGAATAATATACATGTGCGTTCTGTATATATACTCTGAAGACTACACCCTGGGCTCACTGCAGATATGTCGTAGCATTAAAATGCTTGGATTTGGGATTGACTCAACTGAGTTACATTACACAGCATTATGAACCCAACATCAACAGACATAAAGTGAGAATTCAAAGTTAATTTCAAATTTAAGGCCAGAAAAGCCTAATTAGAAAAATTCAGCAACACTTTCAGGTTACCTACTTCGGCCTAAAATGTGAAAGGCTCCTTGAATTCACTTTGAATTCTCATGTTTGTGAATAACCCTTCATATTAGAGACTGCCATATAGCATCAATGTACCATTCATCACACATATATAGTCTCCAGTTTCAGTTAACAGAACTGTACCTATGCATCACCAACGTAACACCTCTTCTTTTTCAGAGATATTTTTTAGACACTATTTAACTGGTTGTCACAATAATAATAATAATAATAATAATAATAACCTGAACAAAAAACATTATGTTGTCCAGCAACTTCTTGCTTGGCCGTCTAATAATACACTAACAGATTTATACAAATGAAAGTGTAACAGAGACATTTGTCGCTGCTTGTTTTGTCACTGTGTTTGCAAACAAACCTGCTTTTCTAAGTAACACCTATTCCTTATCTCATTACTTAGCAATAGGTCAATTACACATTTAACAGAAGAAATCTCCATTAAATCCTAGATGGATATTGACCCCTTGGGCCTCAATTTGAAAACCTTGAGTTTAATAGGAATCACTTTCCTATGCAAAACACAATTTAAAGATGGTTTTATCTACAAACAGACCAGGCTCTTGTAATCATGTGTTAAATAAAGGGTACACTTACTTGCAATGAAAACAATTCAGAAGCACATGGATCCTCAGTTAGGGTCTAATTAACTCAAACTGCTTTTAGACTAAATTAGAAAAAGTTTTAAAAGACCTACCTTGCTTCAATGCTGTCCTTAAGCCATTGTTTCCATTGAATGTGTATTTATGCTAACTATTGTTTCTAGCTATTTGTTTAACCCCTTAAGGACCAAACTTCTGGAATAAAAAGGAATCATGACATGTCACACGTCATGTGTCCTTAACGGATTAAATCCATTTTCTAGGGTTCACCAAACTGCTACAATGATACCTTTTCAGTCCTGCTACTTATAGTGTGATAGGTCTATGATGTAACGATTCCATGAATGTGACTGTGAATGTATGATGTCATCAGATGAACTATGTATGTGATATACTGGAGTTCCAAGCTCAAAGATGGATATTGTTATGAAAGACTGTTACCATTGAGAATAAAATAACATTTATTATATCCACTGTGTGTATTATTTGTAATTATATTGTATATACCATCCTTGCTTTTTGGTGCCAATCATTTTGAAATTCTATTTGGTGCACTCCAGGATTGTAGGTTCTATGTAGCTAACACCAATATATTTATCCCTCTTCTGTGTATAATTCCCACTAATTTCAGGCAGACTGAGATATTTATCCTGCCCTTAGATTACATCAAACCTAATACTAGCCCTGACGCAAAAAACTAAAATAAAATAGTTTGAAATGTTTATTTCCAAATGTTTGTTTTAATAGCCGCTTCAAATTTGCCCCATACCACATATGAATTAACTCATTAACTGGCAATTCTACTGCTTCTGTGTCACCCACATGTTAAATTCCAAGAATAGGACTAGAATAATATGTCCTCAAACCTTATGCTAATATCAGGATAAGGAAGCACCTATATATTTTCGCATCATAATCACTATAATGATATATAGGTGTTATGATGCTTAAAATGCCCATTTAATACTTGACAAATTTGGGCAATTAAAAGGCAGTTCTTTTACATGATGATCAAAAAGCCTTCAACAAGATGGTATCTACTGACCCACAGATGTTAATATATGGGTTTACCACGCATTACTCACACTGTTTCACTATTAAAAAGAAGAAACATAGGAAAATGAGTCATGGAACTACCTTTTATTTTAGTGTGTGTGTGTGTGTGTATATATATATATATATACAAAAATAGATAGCTTGGCACTCACCCTATCTCCCATTAAGTTGATGCATTTATGCCTTGGTGCAATCTCATGTTATGGAATATATGGAGAAATAAGAGATGCACTCTCAGGTCTTTACAAAAAATCCGTTAGTATTTATTCAGTAAAAATGTTACATCATCTGACCGACGTTTCGACCCTACAGGGTCTTCCTCAAGATCTTGATCATCTTGAGGAAGACCCTGTAGGGTCGAAACGTCGGTCAGATGATGTAACATTTTTACTGAATAAATACTAACGGATTTTTTGTAAAGACCTGAGAGTGCATCTCTTATTTCTCTCTCTCTCTCTCTCTCTCTATATGTATATATATATATATATATGTATATATATATACAATATATATGAAATAATGAAAATGTTAGTATTAGAATGACACAGAAAATGACATTACAGTATAGGATTAGGGGTCAGAATACCCTGGTGATTCCTAAATATGTATGTGTGTACAGCAAGACCTGCTATTGTTAAAACTAGCTGCAATAATATTCATTGACCAATGGCATTTATTTATTTTCTTAATCTACTTTATTTTTTATAAGATTTTATGTTTGTTTGTTTTTTCTCTTTTCCTCTTTTATTCTCCAGCCTTTACAATAATTTTGCCTTTGAGCAATTACCAAACAGCGTAGGAGTGAAAGAATCGAGATCGGTGTTGGCAGTGTTCACTGATGACCAATCTCCATGAAGATTGCCATTTCCAGCATAGATCATGACTTCCTCACTGCTAGATTATAGAGGAAGAGATGTGGGATTTGTAAGGAATGCACACAACCTTTTAATTCTGTAACATGGAATGTTGAGGCGCACAAGTAAATTTCAACAACAGAAAAAAACTAAATTTCTTGATTACACATCTAATACAGTCTTTTTATTTTATTTTTTTATTTTTTTTGAACACTCCTTTGTGTCATGCAGGTTTTATGTTTCCCATTGTTCTTAAAGAAGTTAAACGGATTCTTTCAGGTGAACGAGTCAAGCTAAACATTCTTCATCTTGGCAAATGTGACATTTTGGGATATTTTGAATTGCGATGATATGTACAACTGTAAATATACCAAATAAGGCATAAAACAAGCTGTATTAGGTTTTCTCACCATTGCCAAGGGCGAGTAGATTAGTAGAGGAAAACAGATTTTACCAGCCTGTGACTGGTTGCTGGCTTTGCATGGTACATTGGATCTGACTGTTTTCTATTTTTTTCCATTTTTTTTAATGATAATTTTTCTGGGTAGCATTGAACATCAAAATTTCAGATAATTTTGTCAATGCATTATTTTTCTATTGATGACACTAAATCTACCTGCTGGGCATTATGATCTATCTAACTGACAAGTTATCAGCCAATTACCTCTGTTTAAATCTAGGCCGTATGCTAATTATCGCCCTACAAAACTAGTCATCCCTCCAGGGCAGCATTACCATAGATTCTCTTAATGGTAATTATACTAGTTACATTTATGTTTGAGAAATATAGATTTATCATCTTCTGTTGAACAATAACAGTGTATTTCTTATTTAACCTTTTCATGGCAAAGAGTAACACACAACAACCCTCCTAGTACATCATGTGCCAAGCAGCTTTTAAACCCACAACCTTAGACTTACTTCAAATTGACTCTTTTAGCCATGCCAAATTACATTTTGCCACATCATTTACAAGAGCATTCTAAGCACCATAACCACTACAGTGACCCACTGCAAGCTGTGAAAAAGCCTAGGAACATTTTGACACTGACATTGGTCTTTGGCCACACAGTCTTTCTGATTCACATTATTATCATTAGCACGTTATGCTAAAGTGGAAGTTCATACGTTGGCATCTGCAATTTCAAGTTTATGCAGTTTTGCACAATATTTATTGACTGACAACTTTGGACATTATTTTTTATATGAGAGTGTCAGCTGAAAGTTAATTCGTAATGCTTTGTAGTGGTTCTGTTGTTTAAAGTATCGCTTTAATCAATTTACTAATGAGCACTTTTTGATTGAGAAAATATTAGCATAAAGTGTTTGAAACAAAGGATGCACAGCTATTGTTTAAACATATCATAACAGTTTTTTTTGTGTGCGTATAAATGTTGCTTTGCAGACAGTTGTAAAATTTAAATTATGTCAATTTACACGATTGGTACTTCTCACTCATTTATTCAGCCTTTATTCAACTATTTGGGAAATGAAAAGCTTTAGACAGCATACAGTGTCCATTATTTTATACTATCTCACACAGAGTCTGAAAAAGTATAAAAGCAATTTTTTTTCCCACATGCAGTAGATGTGACAAAATAGATAAATATAATTTGTGAAATACACTGCTTATAGGTATTTATAAGAACATTATATAAGAAGGCATTATTAGCAGCACAGCTTACTAAAATTAGCAACAGAAATGAATGTCTGAATTTGAGCATAATGCCCACATTCAGTAAATACAGCTAAATAAATATTTCTAAAATAATGGTATTTAAAACTGCTTTAGCAAGCTTTCTTTCCTCCCCCTCCCTGACTGCAGGAATGATATGACACATTGAAACAAATTGTACTGTTTGAAATCAAATATTCAGGCTTTATAACAGTAACTAGTGAATTTATGAAGTGAAATGTGTTCCTCTACAGGCTCGTAATCAAAACTAGAGCATAAATGAGGGTGAGTGAGGTTTTATGAACTAGTGTGTGTGTGGTAGGTGAGCATTTGTGTGGGGCAGACTCAATTAGTGACCCAGAGCACTGGCTGAAGTGTTCTGAGTCACTACGAAGTGCTGGGCGACCGTGAGGAAGCTCTTATAGTGATTTCTACCCAATATTGGTGCAGACCACAAAGCTCCATCAAGCAAATGTAGATAGAGGACTGAGCAGGAAAATTTTTGATCTCACTGTTGGCTTGAAGAGGGCCCCTAACTGCTGAAACTCCAGGCCCAGACAGGGGCCCGATGCAATGGACAAACAGGCTGATGAACTGGAAAATAAATGATTAGTTTACTCCAGTACATGAATCCTATATACAGCTGGTCAGCACTTCAAGGTCCTGCCTGACACAATACACAATGCATTAGGAGCCCTCAAAAAAGATCCCTGTAAAGGAAATCTGCTCCTTCAAGTTTCCAAACCTGCTCCACATCAAGGCAATAGATTTCACCTACAGTCATCCACAATACCTTCAGGGCAAGCTTTGTCAACATCCCTGCTTATAAAAGACAATATACCTACCCACCCTTATCTTAACTCTTTAAGACAGGTGTATGTGTGAAAATGACTGATCCACTAAGTTAATTGGAGCTTGGTTTGAGGACTTGAGAAGTGAGAATAGACACTTCTATCAAACACTGCATCAGAGTTTATCACTCAAACCTCTTAGCACTACAGGTTTTACAGATCAAAGGTTAAGTTAATTGGTCGTTTGGTCTTTTTCAGATACACTTGTGATTAAATAAACCTACAACCAAACCCCACCCCATTCAGTGATGGGTAGCTGAAGAGTTAGGTTACATATTGTATTCCTATTTTACTGGAAAGGGAATTAGGAAGCCACATGACATACCATGAGACCCAAGCCAATGCATAATGTTTTCAACATTGGCCTTTTCAGACATATCGAAAACAATTTTGCAGTAGTTGTAATTGCCAGTAATAGAAAAATTACTGGGGCTTCTGGATCCACAATTTTCTGCTGGACAAATGTCACCTGTTCATGGTGATACGCAACAAATTAAAAGTGCTTTCTTACAGTATGTAGAATCAATGGTGGCTGGTGAAGTTTAAAGGTGATGATGGGGTGCTAGACTCTACCCCCTCACTCACTGAATTCAGCCCACTTAACTCAACCCCTACCCCAATGAGATACCTTGTCCTGTTCAACATCATAAACCAATAGACAAACATAAAAAAACAAAACAAAACTTCTTTAAAGAGTTTCGACTCCACTCTCAATGCAGTTACACATGGTAGCATTAGAAGACAGGACAACACGCAGGTCTATTTTTTTAGGGTGTCCAGGATGTGATGGCCCAATACAAAGCCAGTGGGTGACATAAAAAATCATAAAAGAACAAACAAAGTTATTGAATAGGCAATACAACAGGTAGTGTTTTTTTAAATACACCTCCAAATATTTGCATGCATAGTTGTTCAGGCACTCTCAGACATTTCTAGCCATTATTAAAGGGGGGTGAGACTGCAGAACCAACATATATTATGTATTTTGTTTTCCTAAAACATGCTTCATTAGTCTTCACACACAACAAAAGTTTAGATTTTTTTATTGGCAAAAATAGATGGAGGGGGCACCAGTAACGTAGCTAGAGCTTTTGCCCCCCCCACCGCCCCTGAGTTTGCCGCCCCTATTCCGACCCATGTTATGTCCAGTGCAGTCACGGACGTCCATGGCTGCACCAGACATACCTCTTTTAAGTGCCCAACACCTCTAGGCCAACACAGTTTACAACCTTTTCAAGCATTTTTAAGATATACACACAATGAATACATGCATGAAAAATTCATGCATGTAATTAATTGGGGGAATATCTACTAAACAGTGATTTTATGGGGCTGTGGGTTTTGCCCATTTGGGCAGAGTGTTCCTTTAAATAATTATTGTTACTGAACCGCTTCAGTATATTTAACTTTTTATTGGTGTGAACAGAAACACTTAGGAGTGAAATGCAGCTTATTGAATCTAATTTTTTACACATTTAAAAAAAATATATACTTTATGTTTTGGAAGGTAGGGTGTGTGTGTGTGTGAGTTAGGGAGACGGTGCAGGGGAGAAGGGATCTGTACAGGGGAGGGGGAAGGACTGTCAGGATGCTGGTGAGGCAGGGGGAGAGGGGATCTGTACAGGGGAGGGATGGGATCTGTGCAGGGAGGAAGGTGGACTTTCAGAGTACAGAGAGGGGTGGCTGTGCAGGGAGAGAGGGGATCTGTGCAGGGGAGGGAGGGAGGCTGTCAGGGTATACGGGAGGCAGGGAGAGGGGATGTGTGCTTGGGAGGCAGGGAAAGAATGGATCTATGCAGGGAGGGGGTCTATCAGGGAGGCAGGGGAGAGAGAATCTTTGCAGGGAAGAGGGCTGTCGGGGAGGCAGGGGGATCTGTGCAGGGGATGGAGGGGGAGATGGGTTGTGTGCAGGGGAAGAAGGGGGAGAGGGGAAGGGGATCTGTGCAGGAAGACAGGCTGTCAGTGAGGGAGAGGGGTTGTGTGCAGGGGAGGCATGGG